GTGACCTCCTGATCCAATTTTCCACTCTACTGTTCCCCCCTGTTCGGCTGGATTTGTTATGTGCAACAAATAGATTATGTGTAGATGTGTTCTGATGTGCTTAAATAAAACTTTATTTGTTTACCTATATTTTTCAATAAATCCTGACGAGTTATCTTAATATTTCATTTTTTATTTTTATTAATTTTTAAAATTGTACAGATAATTTACAAACAACCTGTTCCATGCCTGGAATGTCTACTGGGGTCTCAAACTCACTCCAGACCCCAAATGGAACTTGTATATACAATTTCATCACAAAAGATGTTTGGAAAATGCTTGGTTTCTTGTACCACTCCAGAAAGTACCCGACTCTTTCTGCTATGCGATATCTTTACAGATCAATGGATGATTGCTGCCATATCTGGGCTGGAGATGCCCAATCCTTATTTTCCAGCCTCTACAATGAGCAAAAGCAATATACGCGACCTTGTGGGTGATGAATTGTTTCCCACCCTACAACCTCATTCCCCACAGACATTACATTGATAGCCTCTTCCTCCTCTGTCACTCTTTTCATGGTAGATGTTCAGACGAGTTACATTTTTTGTTCCACCATTTAAGACCTTCACAGCTAGGACCAGCCATTCCATGTAAACGATTCATCTTCATTCCCTTTGTATTCCATTAGTCTACTCAAGCAGTTTCTTTCCCAAGAACTGTTATTGTTTTTTTATGGCTTATCAACCTTTTGCATGTTATTTAAAGCCAGAAAATATTTTAAGATTGTAATTTTTTTTTAAATAATGATTTTTACTGATACATGTTCTACTACTTTGAGTGTAAATTAATGTAGCATACCCACCCAGAATTGGAACTTGACTCTGTGATTTATTACACTACCCACCTCGTATCTCCAAGTGGTTACCCAACTAGGTACTGACAAGGCTTGGCATTGCTTAATGAGAACAGGTGATATGGTTGTAACATCACTATTTTCATGGCAGATGTGCTCCATTCTTTCATTCCCTCAGTTCAGGCCTTCACAGGTAGGACCTGCCATGCTATGTACACAATTCATCTTCATTTCCTTTATATTCCATTTGTAAGTTCAACTAAGTCAGCTTCTACCTCAGAACTGCTACTCCCAAAAGAATACTTCCATGATCGCTACAATTTTCACCTCTTTAAGTTTAGAGTCAACCGTTATCTATCCTACATATCCTTATCACATTTTTCTCCCTCCATGCATGCCCTTACAATTACCTAATTCAATAAAACTCTATTTTGAGTGACTCTTGACCCTTGAATTAGTATATTGATGAAAAGCATAAATGATTTGACACAACATATTTGAATAGGATCTTATATATTTATAAATAAATTTTTATATTTACAAAAACTTAATTCAGTAAAACTCTACATTGGGTGGCTCTTGGACCTGATATTAGGTTTAAAAAAGAAACTTAAGAGATTGGACATGCTTGAACAAGATTTTCTATACTACTGAATACATATTTTTCTTACCTCCACTATTTCCAACACATAACAGTAGGAGACCTTATAAATAATTTTCATATTAAAAAAAAAATATGCCATGTCGCTTTGGGATTCCTTTCGCTTATCCATGAATTACTACAAATTCTTGGGAAAGCATGGCTTTCAGTTGTCTTCTATATTTTCAATCTCTAAAGCTGACTTGCATCCAAAGCTTGAGTGACAATACTACCTTGTTAGCCCATAATAGGGGACACCCAAGGCTTTAGTGGCCAGTCTACCTAGATCTCAAAGGCATAAGTCCAAAATGAACACAACTGACTCAACTTCAATTTGAATTCTGTTGATTCTGTTAACAGGCCACCCGCATCCCATTCATGAAACATTTTTTAATGTTATGTACTTTCAGAAATTCGACGAGAATAGATCTCCACAGCTTCCTTTCCTTTATCTGTTAATTACTATGACTTTATGGGAAAGATATTCAAGTGGCTTCCCACTCTTTTCTCTACAGTTTAGAATTAAGAATTTTCCTCTTCTTAGACTGGCTGTCACCAAAGGCTACAGAGCCCTGTCTACCCTGCTATTTTACATATAGGTAGTAGGGAGAAAAAATGGATTGATGCCTTTCTAAAAGGTATTAAATCTAAGCAAACACAACAGACTAGGATGGAATTTTCAGTGATACTTGTGACATTTCCTTAATACTGCTAAGCAATGTTTTTCCCCGATTTTCAATCAATTTCTATAGTAAAAACGTTTTTCACGTATTTCTGTAGTAACATTTTGCACATAATTGGTATAGTAAAAGCCTTAGCAATGCCTATTTTTAAATAGGCCTTTGATGATGAAGTAGAAAACAAAGTCACAACCCCCCAAAATAATTGATATTTCTCTGCATTATCAGTCGAAAAATAAAATCAGAAAGAAGATCAGGTCAACTTTAGTCAGCCTCAAAATATGGTTTGCATTTCCTTACCACTCTCGACCAATCACAATTTTTCTTACCCCAATAAATGAATATTACTTTGAATGACAGGCAGATGTCCTGATTAAAGAGGGTAGTTGCAAGTTTGGGAATCAAATTTTCGCCCCCTCTTGATTTACATGTTTGGCATTTTTGATTTTGAACTTGAAAGACAGATTTATGACCTTTGGAATTATGGCACTGGATGTTTGTTTGTTTTTTTTGAGATCTGAACCTCCCCCATTACTATTTTTTCCCAGTGCCATATTCCTTCAAGATGTAGGCGACTATGTGAACACTTGGAAAATATGGTGGAAAGCCTTGTTCACCCTGCTACTTAACCCATAGCTTGGAAGAGGACAGATGGATTTGTGATAATATGGATACCCACATAAACAGAGAAGAGGTGGTCTTATCTCAATCTCCAATGTTTCTGTTTGATAAATCAGCAGATAGTTCATTTTGATGTTCAGTATTCTAAGTGATATCCACTTTAACCTCGGGGGAACATTCTGGGTATGATGATAAACTACATCCGGCAGCAAGGCCTTTGATCAGGATGTTTTGAGGAGCATGGAAACCTTTATTTGCTGTTGTTCCAAAGTTCACTCTAACACATGGTCATAGTACCTGTTAGGGTCCCAGCTAGGGGTAAATAGTTAACCACCAAACTGAGATCAATATACTATGAAAGTATGAAAATACATTTTTATAGTAAAAGAACTACCACCAATGAAATTTTTTTAAAATATTACCAGCAATGCTTTTTTTTATTTTTTTAAATAATAAAAAAATTATGAGCAATATATTTTTGTAAAATTATTAATTCTCCCCAGAAAATTAAATTTCAGCATTAAATGACCCAGAAGGAGTTGGTATGTTACTAAAAAAAACAAACCAAAGGGGAATAGCAAGTAAAGGGATTTTCAGAGATTAAATGGCAACAAAACCAGAAATGGGTTATATCCGGGTGATGGCCTATATTAATAGACATGGTTGGGATCAGCTAAAGTTCTCATTCACTCTTGACAGGAGACAGACATGTCCGTGTCATGGTTCTGAGGCCTCCATTTTGTATTATCAAGCCACAGGGTGAGTAGATGGACAAGGAATTGGTGGTAGGGTGAAGAGCTGACATAGCAGAATTTATCCCAAACATCCCTTATTTATTCACCCAAATGAACAGGCAAAGTCCTGAAAAAAAAAATCTACATGTAATATGGAGAAAAGATTTCACATTCTTATTTCTCAACATGACTTTTCCTATGAAATCAAGGATTGAAATGCAACATGGGCTGATCATTGGCCTGGTGGAAATCTTGTGTAAGCGTCATATTGTATATTCACAGGTTCATGCCTTTCTGTTGATGTGAAATAAACATAACAGACTAGGCTTGAATTTGAACACAGCATGTCAATAATCATTATGCACAGGGCCAAGATGTACAATCATCTGACTGGTTGGGTGGGATGAAGCTTTATTGGGGGTCCCAGGCAGTGCTTTGTAAACCTATCTTATCTACTTTTTTCTACCTACATTTATATACATGTTACAAATTAAACTCAGCACAACTGACTATTAAAGGATGAAAAATTTTAGCAAATTTTGAAGTCATTCTGGGGTCATTTCTCCATCCAAATCTGTAAATTTGTTTTGCTTATGCTAAGCCTTGAAAAAAACATACAAAATTCACTACTTTTATTCATAATACTGAATATGCTAAAATCTCAAGTTGTTAAAAATTGTCACAAAACATTGATAAGTTTGGAATGATGTATTATGACATGTCTCTAATTTTATTTGTATTTAGATACATTGTATATATTTTCAGTGTTTCTAGTTGAATTGTTCACCTATATTGCATATGATCCATTATTTCACATAATTAGGTTACAATAGAATTTGTATTTTATATGAATACTACCTTATTGTTGTAGCATACCTACAGACAATAATGGGCATGTCTCCATCCACATAAATACAGTAGTAAATACTGTATATTGGTCTGCATTTGGAGATTCATTGTGGAATTCACTTGACTCACTTCTAGCAGTTGACTACTTCTTCTATGCGCTGCTGGCGAATCTTATATGTGTTGCTCTTGTCCTAAGTATTATCATTCATTATCAACCTTTGTTTGATTATTCTATTCAGTAACCTTCCCTAGATTACAACACTTATGAAAATTGAGATGTAAAAGAGTGGTAGTCCTCGTATTATAGATTTTATGGGAGCCCATGAGAACCTTGTACCGGCCCTTGATAGGCAACTTGCACATCAACCCTAAATTCTTATTAAAATCCTACTAATGGGAAAAACATTCAATATTGAATTGTTTAAAACCTGATTATTTCAACCATTTATTTCAAATTTTCTTTTAATTTACTGGGACTTGACAACAAAGCACTTTTCCTTTTTAAAAAACTTATTAAACTTTTATTTTTTTCAGTGAAGAACTGTTTGATTCATCCGAATCACTGTCCTCCTCAATGATGATTGGTGCAGATCTTTTTTTCTTGGAATGTCCCATTTGCAATGGTGATGCATCGATTTCACCATTCTCTTCATCGCTCTCCAAGAGAGTGATAGATTTTTTGCTTTTGTTTTTACCTTTTGAGTCACCAACAGAAAGAGAATCAGAAGAGCCTGGAGCTTTTCTCACACGAAACTTCATTAAAAATTCTTGACCAGCTTTTAAAATAGATGCCATGGGACCTGTAATGATATGCATAATAAAACATTAGGATATAAATAGATACACAAGGATATATATATATATATATATATATATATATAGAGAGAGAGAGAGAGAGAGATGTATATTATAAGGTATTCAGAAAGAAATTATGTATTTCACAGTCATGAATTAGGAGTCAACCAACCAAGGCTGAATGGAAGGAAAATGCTTTTAGTATTAGTTAATCATTTAGCAGACAGTGTGTTGTTTTATAATGCATTTCAGAGTTTAATTAGGAAAGCTTGAAAGAGAGGAATCATTTATTTATGTGTTTTTATATCATTTTCTGTAAAAAAAAAAAAAAAAAAAAAAATTAATTTAAATTTAAAATTCTCAGTGTCCCATCTCCTTCATGTGCATATGTAGTCACATCAATGTAAACATCACTTTAGATGACTTTAGTGTCACATGAAAGCTTTTTTCAGTTTTTCTTAAAATATCCTTTCTGCTAAATCATAACTGCTTTTTCAATACCCTAAAACACAGACACACATTTTTAAAAATTGTCACAAAATAAAGCAAAAACAGCATGCCAAGAAATGGCATGACAAATAAAAAAAGTGCACAATGTGCCTTCAAAAAATACAAAGTTTAAAATATATATATATATATATATATATTTGGTTGGATAGATGTGAGTTTGTGACCCTGGGTTTCACGCTTTAGCAATCATCAGACAAACTCTAACGATCGCTAAAGCGTGAAACCCAGGGTCACAAACTCACATCTATCCAACAAATATGTTAGCTCTATCTCTGATATTGAGCGCTTTCTAATAAGTACCGTGCATATAATATATAAATAATTATATATATATATACACACACTTTTCACACACACACATATATATATATATATATATATATATATATATATATATATATATATATATATACACACACACACACACACACACACACACACTAACCCTCAAAAGTTTAAGATCATATTATAACTCTATAACAAAACAAAAATATGAAAAATACGAAATATGAGATTCATCAAAATATCCAACCTTCACCTTTACAGTTACTGAGCATCCTCTTGGCATTCCTTCAACTAATAAAAACAAACATTCACATGTAATGTTTTGCCATTCCTCTTTTAATAATGTCCAAAAGGTTTCTACTCTACTTGGTTGTCATTTTTTGACTCTGTGGTCCAATTCATTCCAAACTAATTCAATGGCGTCACAGATTACCAGCAATGCTTTTTTTATTTTTTTAAATAATAAAAAAATTATGAGCAATATATTTTTGTAAAATTATTAATTCTCCCCAGAAAATTAAATTTCAGCATTAAATGACCCAGAAGGAGTTGGTATGTTACTAAAAAAAACAAACCAAAGGGGAATAGCAAGTAAAGGGATTTCCAGAGATTAAATGGCAACAAAACCAGAAATGGGTTATATCCGGGTGATGGCCTATATTAATAGACATGGTTGGGATCAGCTAAAGTTCTCATTCACTCTTGACAGGAGACAGACATGTCCGTGTCATGGTTCTGAGGCCTCCATTTTGTATTATCAAGCCACAGGGTGAGTAGATGGACAATGAATTGGTAGGGTGAAGAGCTGACATAGCAGAATTTATCCCAAACATCCCTTACTTATTCACCCAAATGAACAGGCAAAGTCCTGAAAAAAGTGATTGGGGTGTCCATTCCATGACAGTCAACTTATTTCCTTCAGTTTTCTTCTACAAATAGTTTTTACATAGCTTAGAGTTATGTTTCAGGTCATTATCTTGCATAAGCAAGAATCTATCACCAATCAGCCATGTCCCAGATAGAATGGTGTGGCCAACCTGACTGCTGTCTGTCATTATTTTTTGCCAGTTTCCACATTCCTCACAATTGCAGAGCAAAGTGCTGTGGATGAAACTTTAACTTTTTTGGCTCATATCTTGGAAATTATAAACTTCACAACATAATGTAACAATTGTTTCCTTCTTCTGAGGTAATAAATTATACTTCTTGCCCATATTAAGATTGAATCCCACAAATTTTAATAATTGAACCTGAAACACATAATACCAATTATGAAACATATATTTAGTGGTGTTTCCTCATCTGACAACACATAAGAAGTGCCAATTGTGACTCTGGACTCCATTGTTGCAAAATAGAGGGCTATAAAACAATTTAGAGTCAGCCTCCTCATACTTGGAGTGCCAGGTAAACGAGCTACTGCAATAAAAAAAAATGTTATTTCATATCAAATGTACGCAAATCTTGTGTAATGTGTTATATAATTTTACCCCAAAACTATCTATATTTATAAGATTCAACATAAAAACATAAATGTCAGCTTTGAAATATGATTTTGTAAGTGATCTTAAACTTTTGGAGGGTAACATATATATATATATATATATTGGGGAAAAATGTATGACAAAATGGAAAAGTTTTCTCATGACATGTCCTTTAAGACAAAACACGTCACAAGTAAACTTTTTCCACTTTATCATACACTTTTCCACAATATTGTTCATGATATATAAAAATATATATTGCTATCTCATATATATATATATATATATATATATATTTTTTAGCGTTACACCCCAAGCAAGGCGAGAAGCCACTAGGATGCAAGGGGTTACTAGGATCAGATAGGGAGTGGGAAAGGGATGAGGGTAGTAAAGATCAAGGCAACTGGGTTGTCGATTGACATTACACTTGGATAGCTGGAGATTATAGCTCGAGGGAAACAGGAGAAGGAGGGGGGAGTTCCACAGGCGAGAGGTGCGAGACATGAAGGATGGGGAAGAGACAGTTACATTTAGGAGTTTCGACAGTGAGGGGTGAGGCCAGCCTCGTGAGGGCGCTGGAACTCATGACGCCTGGGAACCAGCGAATGCAGCTCCTCGGAGCAATTTCCATGAAAAGTATTTGTAGAACAGACAGAGGGAGGCCACGTCTGTGAAAGTGACTGTAGACAAGATGCCAGGGCAGGGCCAAACATATTGCATATCCGCCTCTGGAGCCTATCAAGAACCCCGAGGCAGACAGAAGGGGCGCCAGACCATGTATGGCAGCAATACTCCATGCAAGAGCGAATTGTGGATTTGTATAGCTGGAGGATCGACTCAGGGGAGAAAAACTTCCTAGCGCGGCTCAGGGAGCCAAGGAGAAAGCGTGAGAGTATAAATCAAGTAACTGATATATTTGAGAATAAAAGTAGAAAATATGAATGCAATAAAAACAAAAATGGTTAACAATATTGTGTAGCAGTTCACTACTCTTTTCTTTGTTTCTAACAAACTTCTCCTGTTTCTTAATATTTTGCTTAACATTTGGAAGGCATCTTTCTCTATCTCAATGAAACTTCAGATTTCAGTGTCACACTTTCCATCCTGAGTTAAAACACTTCCCAGATATTTAAATTACAAATTTATATTGACGATGGTGGTTCATTTGTTGATATATATTAATTTTATTTATTGTTTGATTTTTTGTCAAAAAAATGTTTCCTTAATAATTTAAATTTGCTTCCACTACTACCACTGTAAAGTTGCTTCCCTGTGGCTTTTCTATAAATATTTTCATGATAATTGTTCAGATGAGTTCTCCTCTCTGGTACCTAGACTTTATGAATTTAAGCACAGTACTAGATTGGCAACAATGACTCATCATTTTAAAATTGAATTGGCTAGATATAACCATAGGTTCTATGCTAACAGTTTCTTCTCTCACACTTCTTGCTTGTGGAAATCTCTTCTGGCTCCATGCTTTTCAGCCAATTTGATCTTCAAAATTTAAATGCAATGTCAATCATTATCTATAATTATCTTAATTTCGGTTGTTTGCCCTTCTTCACAATTTTTTCTGTTTTTCAATTCTTTCACACCCAGTAACGCTTTGTCTCTTACTGCCTTGTTTGAGGCGAATTTAATTAGAGAAAAAGATCGCAATTTGTTAAATTAGTCGGGTGACATACATGAAAATTACTGTATATATTTAGGTATAAGCCAACTTCATGTATAGTGTGACCTCTGAAATATTTTGCATGAATTTTAACGCTTCCAGAAAAAAATTACCTGTGTATAGTGCAACCTATTTTTTTGGCATGAAAAAACCGAACAGAAAAAAAAAATGACTGCTGTGCAAATTACATGCTATATCCATCACACCACTAGACTTTTTTTTGGCTGGAGGGGTTATTTAGAATGCTGCTCACAACAAAAATGTCAAAACATGTCAGGATTTAGAGAATTTCGTTGAAGAGGCTGGTTTGATAACACCTAATCTGTATTAAAATTGTATTTGAAGTTTGTTTTATGAAAGATTGCAAATTTATACTAACAATGGAGGCTCATTTGTTGCTAAATATTGATGTGTACTTTTCGTTTGATTTCTTAATAAAGAACATTTACCCTTCTATCTCATTTTCCTTTTCTCCTGTTTCCAGTTACAAATGTGATAATTAATTTATTTACATCAGTATATCTTGCTGGTATATAATGATGGCGGCTAAGTCAATGTTAAGTATGACCATTGCGTGGCATCTTTTGAAGACTAAGTCATGCCAAGAACTAATATGGATTACCAAATCAATGGCTTGTATAAGTGGGGCCACTGATTTTTTCTTTTAAATTATTTTTCCCCAAGTAAGGCAATAATGCCACTAAGACATATGGGGTTAATGGCAGTGGAAGAAAATCAGAAGATTTTAGGGGAAGGAACCAGAAACCCAATCCTAAACAGAAAACAAAGGATAAACCTCAAATCCTGTTCAAAAGATGGACAAGGAGTCTTCATGGGAAGAAAAATATAAATTTGGTGGCATATTAAGAACAGATATTAAACCTTCAAGACTTACAGGATATCATTAAGGAAATCTAAGTTTTGGTAACATCTGAACTGAGCTGGAAATATTGCAAATTTGTATTAACAATGTGTGACAAACATGAGTCAGTACAGATGCAAAAGAGGCCTGGATCACATGCAGATATGTTTATCAACCCCAGTTATATCT